CCCGGCCGCGTCAGGCGGCGGCGTGCAGGCCGCTGCTGCGCGAGTGGGCCCGCTCCTCGGCCCCGCCAGTGCCGCGGGCGGCAGCAGAGCCCCAACCCCCCGGAGAGGGTTCGCCGGGCGGCTCCGCGGCCTTTCTCCGCAAAACTTCCCTCCGCCTCGCCTCGCAGTTCTTCGGCGGCAGCGCCGTGACGAAACTCTTCGCTCCATAGTGGTTTTCCTTGCTGAACAGTTCAGGGGAAAGAATAGAAAAAAAGTTTTGCTTTTCACGTGCTCTGGCAGTTTTGTAGACACGTGTGTAACTTTGCTCTCATGCCAAGTTTCATCGATCCGCCTAGTTTTGGAGTAATGTAATATTCACTGATTTTAATGAAATTTTGATGAGGGAGAAAGGCTATGCAGTTGCTTAATTCACGCTTTGCATTTCCATGGTGTGGATGGAATATATTTATATCCGTAATGAAATATACAGAAATATCTCTGTATTTCTGCATCTCGGTCAGAAAACTTAGCCCGGCAAATTACTTTTGCTAGAGCAAAGCACAGACGGCGTGAGAGGTTCGTTGCCACGTGGTCGTGAGCGTTCGGGCCGCCTGCTGCTGTATGTTTTGCGGCCCCTGGCTCTGGCCGGTGGCAGGGTGCTCGTGTTTTCTGGGGACTCAGCATCTGCCCTCCTCGCCTGTGTGGAGGGGCAGTTTTCAGCCTGCTTGCGGGTATTCCAGTGGTTGCTGTGAACTTTTCAATATCAGCTGCTGCAGTAGGAAAAAAAACAACAAAAAAATGCGGCTTAAGGTTATCGTTAGAAAATCAGGCATGGATGTGACACTGTGGCATGTCCCATCACACCACATTTTTAAAAGGTATAGTACTGTCCTGACTTCTGGCAGCCTATTGAGGAATTGCAGTGTTTACCTGGTTATAACTTGGAGCAAACGTTAGTGTTTGCCTTGGTAAGGGAAAACAGCTGTTTTGCTATTTTTATTGATACATAAGTATTGCTTGCATATGTAGACTGAGAGGCAGACTGAAGAATATAATTATTTCACTCTAGTAGGTCTTTTCATCTCGTCTTGTTAACTCACTTAACGCTTTTCATTTTCTCTTTTCGTTTGATCTTGTCCTTTTTCTTTTCTCATTACAATTTCTACTTATATGATTTATTCACTTTATTCACCCCTCTCCTTTGCATATGAGCACGTAATATAGTTCCTAGAGAAGTCAGTGAAGTGAGTCCCGTTAATCTGAAGAACTGTTGAGCTGAGGTGATTTTTCTCACCTTCTTCATACTGGTGGTTTTTCTTAGCCCTGAAGTTTTTTGTTTTGTTTTTATCTTGTGCCTAACCACAAATTCCCATGTGCCAAGGAAACTGGCTGGTTTTGTTTATCGCATTCAGAAGATTTCTCTCTGTAAAAGGACCAAGGAATACTTTCCATGTTCCATTGATAGGAAGTAATATTGTAGAGACAATAGTTGTCTCATGGAATGCTCCTCTCCAGGAGCAGCCTATATAAATGCTGCTTGTTTTCCATGCTAACTTCTACCATGGAACTCTGGAGGAGCACAACGATCAAGGAGTGCACTGAAGGTAGTATCATAGCAGTTACAGTTGGGGTAGCCTGAAACCTGTTCACACCAGGGTGATGAGGTTCCACTAAGAGGAAAGATCTCAGTGGTGTGACTTGATCTGCCAGTGCTCAGAAACGTGTTTTGTGTCTGTGCCGTTGCATTAGCACTGAGTTAGCACATACTAGATTCTGAACCTGCTTGTTGAACTTGCAGAATGTTAGGAGGGATGTTGTGAGCTCAGCACTAGTCTTGGGAAGAGAAGTTAAGTGGTCATAAAACTGTTGTAGTAAAATGGGCAAAACTGAACATTGTATTTGCATCTGATAGTATTTTTTATTTAAATATGCAGATGTGCTCGAGGTACATACCATCAGCAAGCAGAGTCATGATGTTAGCCTGACTCATGTTGTACCTTCTACTTTGCAAGAATGATCAGAGGATGTCAAGGCTTGCTACGCTTTACGGACTCTGAATGCCAGTGAAGTGTTGCATGCTATCAGATTGTACAAGGACACTCACCCTTGTTTTACTCCAATGAACTTACCTCAGTTTAATACAAGTTTTTTGCCACTTACACTGGAGAGGGTGTGTAGACATTTTAAAGTATTCAATACTGCTGAGAGATCCCTACTGCTGTCACAGCAAAATGTCACGTGTTGGATAACACATGCACTATTTTTGATGGGATCTGCTACAACACATGCACCTTGAAGCAGAAAAGGACCTTCCTTTTGGCAGTTGCCTGTGTTGGAATATATACAAATATTAAAAAAGCAGAGTGTGAGCCTTAGGTCACCTTAGAATACGCAGATGTCAAAATAGATGTTAGTGGGACAGTAAGAGGCTATATGGTGACAGAAGATCAAACAGTGTATTTATTAATACAGTGTGTTTTCTTGGTGTTGGGAGGCAGTTGCTCATGAAACACCCAACGGTCATGCTTTCTGTAGCCAGACAGAGAAGCAATGGAATTGGCAGAGCAGAAGCAAAGGGTTAATGTTGGTGAGCAAGCATACAGAGCAACTGAGAAGTTTGGAAAAACAAAGAAAAGTTAGTTATCAGTATGCATCATATAGTGGCAAAAGAAGATGCTGTCAAACAACACAGAATAACATATTTCCAAACCCAGCAATTTATCAGGACAGCAGAGTGCTTTTGCATAATAACAGTTCTTAAGAAAAACTTGCTTTTGAATCTCTAAACAAATAAAAAATAGTGTTTGCTATCAGAATATGGGGTTCAAGCTGTAGTTGTAGTGTTCTGAAGAAAATACCATTTTCATTGTGAAATGCAAAACATTGTGCAAAAAGTGATACAGCATACACTTGTGTTTAATTCAGATTTATAGAATAGAATAACTTCTGTTTTCTTTTTAAGGAAAGAAGGATTGTCGAAGTGTGGAAGATGTAAACAGGCCTTTTACTGCAATGTGGAATGTCAGGTACGGTAATGCAATTTCTGAAGATACAAGGGGAGGGAGGGTGGATGTTACTGAACTCCCATTTTTTTGTTTGTGTGGCATTGATAGTCTCTAATTGTAGCTATGGTTAATAGTAGTCCACTTGGTTTCTGCATCCCACAGATGCTGACCATGTAGTTGTGCATTGGACAGTTACAGGATTTGGACATGGTCTGCATGAGTCTTTCAAGATCAGTAGCTCTAGGGCTTGGTACCACTGAGACTTTGATTAGAGCTGCCTGTCAGCCCACTAATTATGTCTATATTACTTCTTTCTTTAAGCAGAAACCAGATAATTTAACACTAGCTTGCTAAGCTGGTAAGTGTCTGTATCTAATGGAAAAATCACTAAATAGCTATCTTAAGGGAGTTTTGTTGGTTTGTTTTTTTTTTTTTAGAATCTTTGCAAATATTTTGAGTGGCCACAGCTAACAGTAGTCATAACTGTTTGAAACCTACTATGCTTTCTCCCTGACTCACTCCTGGCAACTTTTATTCTTTTAGTATACTTGGTTGTTTAAAAGCCCCTGAAAATAGGATATGTTATAAGTGTACGCTAAAGTAGAGCAATATGAAGACATCCAAAACATTTGCATGCAGTTTTAATTTAATTTTTACTTCAAACTAGAATAAGCACCTTTAAAAAAAAAAAAAAAATCGTATCTAGCCTATGTGGGCTGTCGGCTTGGTATGGAAGAATTACTCAGTTTACGTGTGCAAAACCCAACTGGATTGCTAGCTAAATAACGTAAGCTATGTAAGGTCTGTGGTGCTGGGCACGGAGTATGGAACAGTGCTTATGAAGGATTTGAGTCACCAAAGGTCTGGCATGCAACTACGTGTTAGCTATAAATAATCCAAACCTTCTCCTACATGGTAGTGTGCTGTTGAGTGCGTGGGTTTCATGCAAAGTATTATTCTCCATTGTGATTATCTGGACAGAGATGTTGCAGTTTGTGCTATTCAGTTCCCAAGTGCTTTGGAGATGGCTACTGCTTTTACTGCAAGGATGTATCTTATTCTCCCATTGTGCAATTTGCAAAGCGAGCCTGGCCTCCCCTTAGTTTTCCTTCTGTTGCCTCCCCAGATTCTTGCATTCCCACAGTGTCTTAGTGAATTGTGGGTGCATCAAATGGCCTTTGGCTTTGAAGCACCAGGAGGACTCAAAATGCTTAAAAGAAACAAGTTTTTTGCAAAATTTACAATAGTTCACAGAATATTGAAAGACTGTCAGCCAGCAGTTGCTGGGAAGAAAGAGAACACTTACTGTATGAGCATCTTTAAGGCTGTTGAGAGAAATCTGGATGAGTTTTAAAGGCAGTATAGAGAAAACCCATGATTCATTCCTGAGAAATGATTATTTGTAAGAAATGTTTCTATCTGACATTATTTCGTAGGAAGCTTTTAACTAGATGAGGGAAGGAAATACTTGAACAAAGCAATTTATTGGCTATCACTTTTATCTGAGATTGTGTGTTTCTTCTCTTACCATATAAAATTCACAATGGCTTATGAAGCAGTTAAGATTTATTGAAGTAGGAAAGCTCAGTGATTTGTGACAGGAAAAATAGCAAGTAGATATCATGGTGGAAGTAGTAGAGCTTATTTCTGTTGATCCACTGTCACTTGCTTTTACCTCCAAGTCCCTTCTCCAGTTCCTCCCTCAGTGTCCTGGCTTCTAGCCTTTACAAAGTTTATACTTTAATATTTAAGAACAAGGAGGTTTTCCCCTCTCTTTTCCCCGGGTAAAGTCTTGTATATGTGTTATTTTTTAATTTGATTTTTTTTTTCTTGGTGGTCGGAATACTCTAGTAAGGCATATTCCAAGAATGAAAAACTGAACTGCTCAAACTGAGTGTCCTTAAGACTGCAGGAGATGATGCTCAGTGAAAGTGAAAACCTGCTTTTCTGTCTGATAATGAATTAAAATCTTTCTTACCTGTTGGTGTGTAGTATGATGCTTTAGATTTAAAGGCATTTTTTAGATGTTGTGATGTCTAGGCTATAGTATGACAAGCCCAGATACTAGCACTGCACTCTTACTGGTGATATGCAGATGGATTTTGACTCCGTAGTTAATAGAACATTATCTTCCATGTTTTGGGCCTTTCTGAGTCAGTCGAATGAAATTTATGAATGTTGCTGAGATTGAATCTTTGACATTCTTTCAAAGTTACCTTCAAGCATAATATTCTCTAGAAACTGGTCTCCACTGACTGTACGTGCTGCACAGACAATCTGCACTGCATCTTCATCCCTGTCTTGTTCAAAGGCACTTTTCAGCAGTTCAGCAATTCTTTGTCAAAGCGAAAAAGGACATCTGTGCCTTGATACTGAACTTGTAACACTAGGATGTATGGTAAACGTGTCCCTTTTGCTTCCATGGATGTGAGATTTCATGCAATGCTGATAAAGGGGCTGGGCTGTACTTGAGAATTGTGATTGCATTGTTCATTTGATTTTTATTTTTTTAAGTTAATTTTGTCTCTAAATCCATGTTTTCTTTGCTCAGTTCTGTTAAAAATTATATGTGCTCAACAAAGACATGGTATGATTTCAGATGTTGGTTAGTACCTTGTTACTACATATAATTCAGTTTGACAACTGTTCATCATGTGAAATATACTGTATGGGATCGAAAACCAAATTTTTTGAGCTTACTCTTTTACTGAAAGACCTGCTATACCACAGTTCATAGGAATTCTCTCTAGTGATAGGGAGAGATGGATCAGAAGGAGACAAGAGAAGGGTGCCAAAGTGTGCAGCAGGGAACACTTTTTTTTTGGATGTCCTTTTCAGAATTATGGATTTTATAACTGCAGACATCATCGTCTAGTGCGCTTCTGTTAAATGAGGTATTTTTTTTCTCGTTCAGAATAATATGGTTATTGAAAGTGAAGTTAATGATGCTGCATGTGTTTCCCACTCTGTTGAGCCATATAATACCCTTGTTTTGAGGTTCTTAAAATACTTCCAAGCATTTAATGAATGAAGCCTCACAGCCGCCTTCATCGCATTTCTGATTTTGCAGATGGGGTATAGGTACTAAAAGATACAGCTGATCCCCCAGGTGGTAAAAAAGTGCATCTCTTGCCATATGGCCAGGTGTTTGATGCATTGACCAAGTCCTGCTTTGCAGTGTAATTTCTTTGCCCTGGTTGCACGGAAAGGTGGTGTCACACTGTAGTATGAGGGACTTAACTTGGGAAGACAAAGTATTGCAGTGATACAGTGGCTGGTTTGTTTAGGGCACTCTCTGTACACACACATATGCGCACACGCTGACCCTGGCAGAGTTTCCTTAGTGCTAAGGTGTCTTTTGCCTATTTTGCTCTACTATTTTGCTTTTAAGATAGATAACCTTAAATTTGACCTGTACTAAGCTGGATGTTTTCATAGGCGTAGGTTCAGTCTCAGATGTGGGGCATGTGAAAGTGGAAGTTGTCTTCGCTGCCTGTCCCTGTTGCCTTGAATGTTTTGTGGGTTGGTAGAATCTAGCTGGGGTTTGCTGTGTCTTTCTTTTCCCAGCCCCAAATCCAGTTTTCCTTTTAAAAGGGTTTGCGATTTCCAGTTTATTCATACCGTTCTGCTCTCCACTATTGCCTTCTTGAAGCACAGGGCTGTTATTGTAACAGTGGCTTTCGGACCCCATCTGCAGCTGTTCGGGTCTTGACTTCTTAAATTATAATAATTTTAGTCAAACAGCAGGAGACCTGCACTCATTTTTTTTTCTCCTCAGAAATTAGCTGCTGAAACACTCTGAAGAGAAATGTTTTAAGAGGGTTATGTGGTTGCAATTGTGGAACTGGTGAACTTGAACCAGCTACTGGAGCTCCTCTTTCTGTTATTACACATAGCTATTATTTATCCCAGACAGAGTGGAGATCAACTGGCCAAAGTGCAGGAAGAGATGTTTTTGTCATGACTTTCCGTGGCTGAAATATATTTCAAACAAAATATTTACATTTTTTTCTGAACATGTCACCTTAAAGAAACCTGTAGGTGGTATTTCTAGAGTAAGGAAATCACATTTTTAACCAGCTAGTAAACTTGTAAATGTAGTTGTAGACCTGGAATTAGCATCAAGCAGACGTGTTTTAAATAGGACCTTGTAGAAATTGCCCACTCCGTTTTGGTGAGCCTTAGAAAAAATACAAAATTCTCGCTGTAATGATTCTGCCCGGGATGAATTTGATGCTGCGAGACTCTGCTTAAGATTGCCTTGGGGAAGTGTCTGCCCCCCTATCCAAAAACTTTCTCCATGTAACTTTCTTTGATAAATGTCTCCTGTGAACCTTTTTAACATGAACCTGTGGAAATCAAGTACCCTCTATGGTCCTGCATTCGGTAAATGATGGTAGGGAAGGGTGGGTCTGAAGATGTGTGAAACTCTTTCTTCACTGCTTGGTGAAGGACTGTGTCAGAAAACTGTACTGAATAACATCAGACATCAGAAATTGCCTCACTGAAATTTGGTTAGAGTTGGATGCCGTTTGAGCATAATTGGGCCTCAAGCTTTTGAAGAAGTGGGCTAAACCTCTATGCTGGCTTGCTCAGTATTTCTGCTTGGTATTTGTGATTCTTTCTGATCAAATGAAATACAACAAACATTTTACGTCCTATTGAAAACGTTCTTGTGAGGAAGGAGGTACGAGGACATTTGTTTGGACTTTTGGCTATGTGTTTGGGGGTATTACATTTTGGTTTTGTGGGGTTGTTTTTTTTTTTTTTTTTTTTTTTTGTCCTGGGAATTAGTCCAGTAGTCCTGGACGGTGGAATAATTTTGAAGAACTTGGTGGAGAAGATTGTTTCCATGCTTTGATGTGAAAAGCATAAGCTTTAAAGAACTTCCCTTCCAGAAATGTTGTCACTCACTCCTAAATGAAGGGAAAAATACTGTGGATGAAAATAAGAAGAAAGTATCATTAATGTAGCATTAGGGATTCAACTAGAACAATGCTACCTGTTATAATTCAAACTACATAGAGAAAAATGTGGAAAAGAATGCAAAATACAGCCCTGCTGTGATCGCAAGTAAAGCTGCTGTCACAGTGTTTCCATCCCAGGTATTACTCAGTCATCAGCACTCTCTCTTCTTGTGGTGTTTCAGGCTTTTATCTCATTTTGCACAATTCAGCCGTATCTTGTTCCTTTAACCTCCCTACTAGTTCATATAACTCAGTATGATTCTGCCTGGGGAAAGATTTTAATTAGCGATGTGTAAAGAATAAAGGGAACAAACGGATTTTTTAAAAACACTGGTTTGAGACAAGCATGTGATTTTGCATTTTGAGTGTGGGTTGGTTTTTTTTTTTTTGTTATCGAGTAATCTCTCTTGTTTATTTAACTGGTATATATGGGTGCGGGTCCTACAAAACTTCAGGTTCTGCGCCTTCTCTTCTTCCATACCCAGCAATCATACTGAAGTTGGTGGGTGCTGTGGGTGTTGAGAGGTGAGCTCTCCTTCTGTCCCTCTTCTTAGCCTTTAGCCTGTGGATTCCTAAGCAAAGGCTATTGAGAATTTTCCAGAAAAAGGTCTTGGGGCGTACATAGGAAACAGGCCTCTCCAGGGATGCATTTTATAGTGTGACAGCTGTAGGAGAGTTGAGAGTGCAATTTTACATGACATGGTTACAGTGTAATATACTATTTTTGTTCTCCTGGTCTGTATTGCTGCATCCTCTTAGAACATTTACACTGGAGCTTATTTCAAGCAGCCTGGATGTGGGTTTTTTTGGAAGTACCATACTGAGATATCAAGGATAATGAAGTTGACTTTGTGAGGGGCTGAATACCCTTGCAGTGTTGCACTGTGTCAAATCCTATGTGAGGCTGGGGCAGGTGTTCATCTTTCTTTTCCTAATAAAATAAATTCTTAAAGCTGTCTGTAACCAGGGCAATTAAAATGGCTATTCTCAATGGAACAATTTTCGGTGTACTAACTCTGAAATTAGTGATCTCAGCTTTTGCTTTGATCTGCAAAACCTGTAAATCGGTTGACCAGCCAAGGCAGGAGATACTGGGGGTCCTGATTTGGATGGCTGTTTGAGGTGCCTTGGGTTGTCCGATGTGGTTTATAGCTGTAGCTCCCACAAGGAGTGCATCTCTCAGTAGACCTGTATCATACCTACTGGTCCTATGTAGGTGTTTTAGATAGTGTGGTGTCTCCAATGACTTTTGCCATCAGTGGTTAGGCAGCCGAGGGAAACTGTTTCTTTTGTTCCTGTCAGTCACTATCATGGGCTGTGTTTAAAAAAATTAATTAAAAATCAATTTTAAATTTTTTTTTGGAGTGGACTAATACAGGCTGTGACAGTGGGTGAATCACAGTAAGGGGAATTAAGAACTTTCTGGAGACTACAAAAAGTTTTTCAAATTTTCACTTTCAATCAACTATAAATTTGTGAGATTTGTTGTGATTTCTTTCTTCTCCTACTGTTTTCTACCAGTTTAAATCTGGTCTAAAACCAAAACTTGGTGCTCCCTATACAAGGCAGAACACTGTAAGTCTGTTCTAACACAGTGCTATAAATGTGTGTCTCGGATAAGATAAAGAAATAAATAATAATGCATTGCTTGAATATAGAAATAAGAATATTTCCATGTTTGAATAAATAAATAAATAAACCCAAATTTGATGTAGTCTGAGGACAGCCCATGCCAGGCTCTGTGTGCCAGTGCAGAGTGTTAATCAGTGATTCTGTGCTCATCTTTGAAAGATTCTGTTGCCTTGGAGGAAATTGGTAGAGTGCCAAAAGCCAGTGGCTTGTGCCATCACTCTAAGTGTCATTGTATGTTGAGCTAGGAATATGCTATATTCTTAACTAAAATGTGTTTGTCTTTATTAGTGTGTTTTCATTGCCTAGTTGTACTCTACAACATTTACGCAAAAAACCCTATTCTGTTCAGTAGGTCTGGTTTTGACCTTACATATGCAGATTCTTACAGTGATTGTGAATCCATTGACTTAAGACACGTTACTCCTGATTACACCAGGGTTGTCTCATAATGAGGGGCCAAGGTATTAAATGGAAATTAACCCAATAAGCCATCAGTCTTAGACCTACTCTGTCCGCACGTGCTTGATCTGAACAAGAAGAACTGGTGATTTATAAATCATGTTGTCTGTTTGCTTCTTCATAATTTTTTTTTCCATTGAATAAATGAAGATGTTCTGACCTGAACTAATCCCTTGTGAATTTATTTGAAAAAAGCAGGATAGCTGTACCCCTTAAATGTGACTCAAGCTTTTGTTCCAATTTAGTGAGCGTCATCTTATTTTTTTTTAAAGGAAACACATTTCACTTGACCTCTAGGATCTGGCAGGACTTACTGCATCCTTGTTTTCATCACTTTATCTTCATGGCTTATTTTTTTTTAAATAGTTTTCTACATTTTTCAGAAGGAAGACTGGCCAATGCACAAGCTAGAATGTTCTGCTATGTGCGCTTTTGGGCAGAACTGGAATCCCTCGGAGACTGTGAGGTTAACAGCGAGGATCCTTGCCAAACAGGTGAGCAGGAGGCTAGACTTGGGAGGTGTCTTCCTATTCTGGGTGCCAGGGAAGGCAGGAAAATGAAAACTGACCGACAGTAACCGTCCCTGCAAAGCACATACATACTGGCTTCCTGTGTATGGGCGGGTGTAGTAAGGGAGCATGAGCAGCTGAACGAACTGACCATCAGACCGCTGCAGCAGTGTGAGGGCCGTTGTTGTCCAGCGGGAGATGTTTGGGGGAAGATGGCAAAAGGCTAGTGAGGTTTTAAGCTGTGTAGCTAATAACTTACAGCCAAGAGTACTGTTGAACAGAGTCTGGAAAAGTTTATTGATAGTTTTGCAACGTGAATGGTGTTTCAGCCTCTGTTCTAGTAGATTGGTCCAGCTCTTGGTTACATATGTGGGCTAGCACCAAGGCCTCGTTGGTGAAGAAGGAAGAATTGACTTGGTGTATGTGGTTAGATTCTGAGGAATGTTCCTAGTGTTACCTGTCCGCAGGCACTGACATCTCTATAAAGCAGTTGCCTGTTGTACTATTTTTCAGCTATATCTGCATAGCATTATGTAGCATATAACTCCCAGTACATTTGTGAGTCAAGAACACCTCTGAGATACTCAGATATAAATGTTTACGATTACTGGAGTTAACTGGTGAAAAACAGATTGAGAGAGAAATCTCCAGATCTTGGTCTTCGGAGGAAAAGGATATTATTAGTAAGGAAATAAGATTGCAATGTCAACCTCTATTTCAGTGTTCCCTAACTAGATGGATACTGAGGATAACACAAGTGCTTAAGGGAGGGGACGGGATTCATGAGTTTCAAGGTTATTATGCTGTGTATCTTTGTAGAGCTCTAAACTCTTTCCGCAAAAACAAATCCTCTTTGAAGCATATTTGTGTGATTGAGGTCTGCTTATGTGACAAGGGCAACCTGGATACTGTATGTAGTGAGGATTTTGGTGGCCTGCTGGGAAGGTAGCTGCAATACTTGCTGTGTGTGTAGATGTCTGTGAATGTATGTGTGTGTGACTTAATTAAAGCGTGGTTTAGTGGTGATCCACAAACAAAATCGAATGTTTAATGACAAAAAGTCATTGGAATAAATTTGTGCTTTTATTGCTTACAGGGAGGGGGGAGAACTCTACATGTCATATAAAAGCTAAATATGCAAACCATAGTCCCTGAACCTCAGCTGCTGGGCCACCTGCAAAGCCATATTTAATGGCCAAGATTACAAAGAAGTGGCCTTAGGCCAACAATGGAGCATTGCTTTTGAACTCTGTCAACAGTCAGTTTATTCACTTTCCTCAAAGCGAAGCCTGTCTCCTGCCTGCTTGCTATTGTTAGCAGCTTTCTGGGTGTCTAGAACAAAGCAAATGACATATTTAAAATACTGTTCAGTTTATGTATATAAATTTGATAGGAGTTAATCTTCAGCTGCCTAATTTGGTGTGAAGAGAATATTTCTATGGCTTTACTAAGGGCAGTCAGTTTAACTCATTGCTGTTCATCAACTTCTATAAATTCCATACAGTGTGGATTTGGGTTTGTTTTAAAGGTAGGAGTTCCCATCTTATGAGTGAGTAGGCAAAACTGCCAACTTAAAACGTTAAAGTATTTTCTTTGGTTTTTTTTCCCCCCTTGTTGCTAGAAAACTCACCCTGAAAGAACACAGTCGGAGAAGCTGCTTGCTGTAAAAGAGTTTGAATCACGTAAGTAAAAAAGGCTTGCAGGTAAACAGAGGCAGTTATTTATATTAATGATTTGCTTCTCCCGGCCCCCTCCATCAAAACCTTTCAGGGCATCTCACTCCTGTTGGAGGAAGGGATTAAACAAAGAAAATTGTGGTTCCTCGTTTTTTGAAAATGCAGTGCTCTTCTTTCTTTCTTTCTCTTTTTTCTTGGCTGCTTGTCGGGGATGTGAAATGGGTGAAAATCTAGACAGAATTAATTATGTAGCATACATCTATCTCATGGCTTTTCTGGTACTCTAGTGTCTTTTGAGAATTGTAATGTTGTAAAATTAAAATAGCTGGTATTTGTTACCAGGAGGCATAAAATCAGAGACAGCACAGTTGCTTGATGGTGACAGTGACTAAGGGGCTAATTGCAGAACCCTCTGGACTGTGCTTCAGTATCTGTCACTGCCAGTCAAATCTGACATGTTATATATGATTGTGTTGAAATTCCATGTCCTAAATGCTCCAAAATAATCCAAGGAAGGAGATGAGGCAATAGCTTGCTTTTAACTGGAAGACTAGTCTTTATGTCCGATGAGACAGAGTTAGAAAGTGAGGAACTAGGGGACTAGTAACCCTCCTGGCAGTGTTCACTGGTCTGTCGTTTCTCTTTCTTGCCGCTGGGGCTAATATACAAGGAGACGATAGGTTTGTATGTTCTCATTTCTCACTCCGATGGCTTCCAAAACCCTTATAAAATGCTTGAATAAATGCAGTCATTGCTAGGACTTGAGGTAGCAGAGTAACCAAACACAGCAAGATCACAGTTTTACTTGCTTCCTGAACAGAAGCTTCTGTCACAGCTGTTGGGACAACTGGGGAAATAAGGGGGAAAAATGCCAACACTTGACTTTGCCTAAGGCAAGGATAATTTTTACAGGTAGGTTAGTAGGATTGAGGTTGAGGAGGATGCGTAGGTGCTGAAGTAATTCCTGTATATTCTGCATCGCAGCTTGTCTTCAATAATTTATTAATTCGAGAGCTAAAAGGCTGAAATTTTTTTACTGTTGCAATGTCCCCCTTGTCCTCTAGAAGCCCTTGTTTTGTTAGTAAGAACCCCCGTTCTTCTTCTGCCTTCTTGACTCTCCTCATCTCTTAGCACACCTTTGTTGTGTTCAGCAGTTGCCTTACGCTTTGCAACACCCTGCACAGGAGTGGAAAAGGCACCTGGCTGTCAGTTGGAAGCTCAAAATTTCTTCTTTCTGATTTGTCCTAGTTCTCATCAAATAGTCCCATTTCACTTTCCTCAGTATTTTTTGTGGTTCCCCTGTCATTCACATTTGCTCTTAGAAATCATTTCCCCCTTCTGTGCAGCCTTTTCTCTTCCTGCATGTTTTCCTCTCCACTGTTGAGTTGGAGAGGGGAAACCGATGAGTTGCTGGCTCTCTTAGAGAGGAGTGAGCTGGTGACACTGCCACTGTGAGAGAGAGTATTAGAAAGAAAGTTTCTAACACTCTGCTCTTGAGGAGAGAGAAGGAACCAGGAGTATATGGTCAATATCTAGCTTGCTCTGCATGGACCAGGCAGGAAAAGGTTCAGTGGCCACAGGTTTGGCTAGAACCTGTCATGGGCCTGAGGGTAAATCTCTGAACAAGCCCATAAGGGAGTGCGCTTGGCAGGTGTGCCAGGACGTTTCTGATGATGTTTGTGCTGTCTCCTGTTATTCTCAGATACCTGCCAGTTAAACACACCTCTGTTGATGGTCACCACCCAGCCCATGGAGACATGGGCATTCTCAAGCACTGTTTGTTACCTCCTGAAACAGGTGCCTGCAGTAGGTTAGGTGGATTACAGTCCTGGGCACCCTCAGGTTATCCTCCTCTTGCTGCAAAGGGAACCCCTGGTGACTAACCCCAGCATTGTTGTCAACCATTGCTAGGTCCCCATCACATGTGGCCACGAATAGTTAAGGCCTCTGTGCTGGGAAAGACCGCTCTTTTAAAAGCAGGGATAAGCAGCCTACCTTAGCAGGAGTCTGGGCTGGTTTGTATTGGTAAGAATTACAAACCAACAATAGGAGGAAGTTTCACTGTGTGAAGCATGTTTTAAGAAGTGTGATGTTGATTGTGACTCCATACCACTGTAGATGGGACCAGGTAGCTTGTAGGTCATGTTACAGAGCTGATCATAGCTACCCACAGTTGATAGGCTTCTAAAGGGCCAGGGCTGGATGGCCTGTTTGCTAGGTTAACAAAGCCACATTAAATACTGTAACCCTTTTCCCATAAAAGGGAAATCTGTGTCCCATTACCTGCTAATGTAAATATGTTAGAAAATGCTTTTTAATCCTGCATGTTCTTGTAGCGCACGTGTGGCTTTGGCAGGAGCAGCATAACATTTATGGAAGAACATACACTGCTTCCAGTACTTCCAAGCAGCTGTTCCTTGAGGGGTTTCTGTTTAAGTCCAGGCCTGTTCTAATGTAAGTCTAGCTGCAGTTCATGGGGAAGTGTTCCTGTTACTGAAATGGAATGTATTCTTTGTCCACAGACCTTGACAAACTAGACAATGAAAAGAGAGAGCTGATTCAGAACGACATTGCTGCTCTTCATCACTTTTACTCAAAGCACTTGGAGTACCCTGACAATGCTGACCTTGTAGTTCTCTTTGCACAAGTAAGTTGGCTAGCACACAGCCTGCTTAGGTGATTGGTGCTGTAGGAGTTTAGCCTTTGTGAAAGGGGAAGGTATGAATGGCAAAGGAAGTGGTAAGCTCTTTGCTTATTTTAGGGAGAGCTGAGTGTGCTTGATAGAGAAGATCTACTTCCTTGAGCAGAAGTGGCTGGACGTGCCCCATTTCAGTAGTGAGGGGAGAGAGATTTGTCGGCAGACTTTATATGAGGTGCTTCTCAAACACTGAAGAAAAGGCAAACAGTCTTTATTAGACTCTGTCAAAGTTAGGCTTCTTGTGGGCCAAGCATAGTGCAGCTGCTGTAGACTTACATGGAAGGCTGCTGGTCTGAGACCCTGCAGAGGCAAAATCCTTCGTTCAGGCTTCAAACTTGTGGAAATCCTTGCTGGTCAGGTCCTCATTGTGTTTGACCTTCACAGGGAGTAAACTTCAGAGAAGTAGAAAGGAAAGAGCAGTCAGAAACTTTTATCTGGTGTGTGGCTTTTAAATGCAGTCAGGTAGTTTGGTCATCTGGAGAGATGAAGGAAAGGCAGGATGTCTTGTTAGATAACTTCTGAAATGTGTCACCTCTTTTTTTCTCACCTGCTTTTCATACACATCTGAATTGAATGTATTTTAGTGGATGGAATAACACCAGTGGAATACTGAAAGATCCATTTTCTTCTTTTTCTTCCTGTACTTCAAAATAAGCTAGTTTTAAATGTCTGAGTAAGAAGTTTAATTTTTTTGAGATGAGTGCAAATGTTAACTGATGTGATGAAAGCTGAGATGGCATAGCCTGGTTGGTAGAGCTTGGCATCTACCAACAAAGAGGTACACTTACTATTTCCTTAATATAGAGATACTTTTACTCTGTAGGGGAATGATTCTTTAGCATGTTTAGCATCTACGCGTCATCCATTGTGTGTTGCTTCTAATTATACATTTCCCTTCAGTGAAAATTTTTTTGTGTTTTGAAGACTTTACAATTTATATTTGCCAGAGGGATACTTTAAAGAGATCAGTACATCCAGTTTCTTGTGGCGTTTCTGAATGTTTTTGTTAAAGTAGCCAAAATCCCCAAAGATTTAATTATTTTGGCTAGAATGACTTTCGCTTCATGTGCTGTCCTGGACCGGCTCCACTAGATCGTAGTACTTCAGCAGACTTCTGTGAACTGCTGACTCCCAGATCTGAAGTCTTATCTGGTCTTCTCTGTAGATATATAATGTCATGCTTAGGTGTCACCTTAAGCTCATCCTGACTGTCAAGTAACTGTTTGCCACTGTGGACATTGCCATTCTTTGAACTACAATCTCCAAAGATCATCTGGATGTTCCTCAGAAGTATTTTACAGGTTACAACCTTTTAAGGTTTTAGCCCCAGCATAAATCTTCCTAGAAAAACGGAAAGCATGGCATGTCTATACTTGATATGTACAAACATGTTTCTTAATAATTAGTTAACTTGACCTAAAACCAAATAGTTTGGATATGCTGCTGCTCCTTTGTTTTGCTTTGACATTTTCTCTGGCTTCATGTTGTCTGCTTCGCTCCTCCATTCAGCATTCTTTCTCCCTGTGGCTCAGGGCAGTTGTTTTGAACTTGGATACCTCTTACTCCTTGCTCACTGCTTTTTGTGGGCTTTTCTGATGTTGTTTCTTACTCAGCATGGCTAAGGTGTAAGTGGTCCTTTTGAGCGGAGCAGAGATTTTTGTCCCTGTGGAGCATAGCTCTCGAGACTGGTGCTCTTCCTCTCCAGTCTTACCTTGTCATAGTCTTCAAACAGTTTCTCCCTTGTCTCAGTTTCCAGCATCTCATCCTTTTCTCGAAGACCTTGCATAATTTTATGCCTCCTTTTGCACATTCTCTTTTTCTATCATTGAGAACAACCTTCATCTGTAGTTTTTCACTGTTCTCTCTTTACTGCCTCCATGTTGCCTTTTTCAGTCATGCATTCATCTGGTAAAACCAGTGGTATCTCATCCCTTCTCGTTCTTTCTCTTGTGTCATTTGTGGTATGATGCATTCAAGAAGTGAGTTGGCTCTGGCTTAGTGGAGGGGAGTTGATGATAACTCACTGCATATTTTTAAATATTTCCCTGTGATTCAGAATCGTCAAGCTGTTGTTCATGTCAGGCTGTGTAGCCTTATGTTCTTAGTTGCTGTGGATATAATCTTTTCCTCCTATTGTTTTTCTATTCAGCAATTACATTTTGGTTTTGGTTCAGGTATGCTCATAAGTTGGCTAGCACAGTAGTATGCTCATCTTGAGAGGGAGGGAGCCTTTGGATGCTACCTTGCTAAAAATAGCAGGATAAAGATCAAGCAAAGATACTGGTGAGTGAATCAGAGAAACAGGACACCTCCCTTAATCGTGAACTCATCCTGAACAGTTCATACCTGAGAAGTGGCTTTGGGAAGTATTTGTATATTTTTAAAATCCAATCTGAGCTGCATTCTAGCTTGTGGGGCATACCATTGTTGGTAGCATTTGTTGTCAACTCTTACTCTTCCAGAACAAATGCTGTACTTGATTGCCTGTTCATGTGGCTATTGTAGCTTCAGCTAGACTTGGTCATGTGATAGAAGTTGCTTTAGTGCTTTACTGGTGCTTCTGTGAACATTTTGATGATTGTAGGCAGATGTTGGTGAATGTGGAGAGGGTTCTCTTTGTGTTGGCATGTATGTGACTTGCAGTGAAAATGGAATGAAGTACTCGATTGAGGTGCATTTTCGTCACTTAAAGTAACACAAACCATGTGAAACAAAGCTAAAACTCCTGTAAGATTCCCTTGAGCTTAGTGAGAATAAAAGAGGGAGAATAGTCAGAAGGATTTGTGAACAAGCTCCTTTTGATCTTGTGTCTGTTTAAATTAGGAATGCGCTTCCTCTCAAACCCTGTCCTTTTTCTGTCCCCTCCTATTCTATATCTTTGTTAGGTTCAAGTCTTTCTCACTGCCTTCCTTGTTCTTTATATGTGCTTTAGCTGTAGCTGATACATGCAGCCCTTGATGACAGATGTCATTGTGGCAAGTCTTTGTAACATATGCACCAATCAAGACTCTGTACTGCCCCAGCCCAGTTGAGTTTGCTGCTATTCATCCCCATATTTCTCCTTGAGTGTGTAGTTTTGCTTTGGCTCTTTACTTGTCATGGCCAACTGAAGTCTCTTTGCCTAATAAGGCTTCGTTTCGTGTTTGCAATGATCTTGCCTTGACATTTTCTATCGCTTTTCAAGCCCTATTTTCCTTCCAAGGAGCAATCCACTAGAGGTGGTGTGTCCTGAGCAGGTGCAAGTGTAGGACTGTCAGTTCTTTAGTGTCCTGCATATTCCTTTGGGTAGGGCTCTCTGTGAATACTGGTGAGGTAGAAAGAAAATTGTAAGCAAATTACTACAATTGAGTTTCAAGTATGAGGATGTGACATGAGGGTGCAGAGTACTTAGCTGACCAGGAGCTGATCTGGCATATCTCTCTTTTTCCTTAGGTTAACTGTAATGGCTTTACAATTGAAGATGAAGAACTCTCTCACTTGGGATCAGCAATATTTCCTGAGTAGGTTGATTTAGATATTTAAAAAAATAAAATTAACTTATTTAAAAAAAAACAAAGGTTCTTACACATGTATGGAATTAGATCTCTAGTGAAAGAAATTCAACTGAACACTTGATTTGTTTTGTTTTAAATCTCTTTAGCTAATAAAATGTGACCAATGACTTACAGCAGTTTTTTGTAAAAATATGGTAATTTTGGTAAAATTGCACTTGTAATTTGTTTTGAAGTTTAGATTGTGAATTATGTGCACATTGGTAGGAAACAGTTACTTGGCTAGCAGGTTCTGGACAGGGACATCATGTAATGATCAAAGTGAAATGAAAAGGATTGCAGGTGACTTGCTCTATTCACAACTTTCTGTTTTGGCTGGGTATAATCCTTCACCTGGTGTTCTCTGAACAACATCCCTTCTACCTTTGTTCCTTGGCAAACACTAAATCCCTTTCATAATTCCTTTCAGCCTCCTCAGGTGTTTTAAAAACTACAATGCTTTATATTGCTGTGACAGTGGAAAAAATATGTACAAGCTTCTTAGCTTTACAAATAACTGCAGATGTTAGGTGTTAACTGCAGTTTGTGGATGGGGGAGCACAGCTCTCTTTAAGGCTGAGGAACATTTCTTCCTTTTAAGTCTGTCCTCCCCACTTAATGTGCTAGCAAAGGAGGATATCTTCTGCCCCTGTTCTCTGCAAGCCCTGTACTGAAAGTATTATCACTGTCCGCTTAGGTTGACTTCCTTGTGAGGCATAGATTACTAATATCTTATCTATGGCAAAGTAATCTGAAACTTGTAGATGCCCAATTCAAGCAGGACCTGATTTTGCTAAGTCTGCATACAGACAGTAGTAGATAGTCCTTGCTTCACAGATTCTCCTTCTTCAGGCAGGTCTGTCTGAAGTCCATATCCCTGATCTAGCCCTGATTAAGGCCTTGAAATGCCCAGGATCAGGGTCATGGTGGGGAGAGGAGAGCATTAAATGTTCTGGAAACATGTCCAGCACCATCCTTTTTAAATGCTCAGCATGCAAGAACCAGATCTTTTCTACTTAACAGTTACAGCTGTGAGCTGAAAAGACTAAAGGGACAATTATTATTTAGCTGGATTGGAAAAGAAAGAATTAACATTTTATAAATTTTATCTCAAGTAAGCAGCAAGTTGCACTTTCTCCAAGCTTGGTAGTAAGGGGGAGTACTTTTCGATAGCAGTCCCAAGTTGTTGTGTGCTTGTATAACAGAAATATCTTCCCTCCCACTTCAAATATGGAGGCTGTTTATGTTTACACAGAAACCAGCTAAAATGTTAACGTTCATCTTAAGTTGTGATGCAGCAAATTACTTTTCTTTTGCATGTGTCCTGTAGTTTAAATGTCTGTGTTTCTTCTCTGAGGCAGTCTATCATAGATACACCTAAATAGGATGTTGATAGTTAAGCTATGCGAACAACCCTGTCAGCTGTCCCATAGCACTATAAGAACGGAAAATAACTTTACCTAGTCCTGCAATAATAGGATTTAAAAATTGTAATGATTCATTAGTACAGCCATTCTCCATATCATTAGAATAAGTAACAGTACAACAGATTTCCCCAAGGTTACCTTCATGTTAAGCCTCAGAATAAAAACAGCTTACAGAGAGAGCCTGACTCTTATCTTTCAGGCTGATGTGTTTTGTGAAGTGGTGCTTAACTTTTTGCCTGTTGCTTTTGGTGGTGATGGGGGGGAAAAAGATTTACTTTTCTACTTTTACAGTGTTGCATTGATGAACCATAGCTGCTGCCCAAATGTTATTGTAACTTACAAGGGGACCTTGGCTGAAGTCAGAGCCGTTAAAGAGATTGAGCCTGGAGAAGAGGTAAATATGCTGTGTTTGAATGTACTCTGTATGCATGAATCCTAAAAATAGGATCCATTCTGCCTTTCAGGATTCATTTCAATTAGGTGACAATTTAATAATAGCGAGGAAGGATCTCTTGTTTCTCAGAGAAGTGTAAGATGTTGCTTTGGAAAAGTTGGGGTGGCTCGGGAGGACTGAAGTGATTCTCGGAGGCAGTATCCTGTTTTGTGCTAAAACAGGGGAAGGGCACCTGCAGCAGTCACTGTGTATCTGCCAGCCTCTGTCTCAGTTTACCCATCTGTAAAATGAGGCTGAGTTTACTGATGTTTGGCTGGTGCTTTGAAATTCCAAGATCAAAGCAAATTATTACTGCTATAATAGTTCCCAGTAGAATAGTAATGTATTGAAATTGAAGCCAGAATAAACAAGGTAAATGGGTACAGATAAGTCCTCTGACTTCTGTTTGAACAGAATGTCCACAAAACATGGGACTCGGTCATATCACCTCAGTGGCGTTTGCTGGGATGTCACAGAAGAGCAAGAGTGTGTGTTTAGGTGGAGTGAAGCTGAATAGTGATGGATAAAATTCTGTGAAATTGAGGAAGGCTCTGGGTTTACCTTGAAACTTTCTCAATCAAATAATGAACTTGGCAGGGAGTATTCAGCAACAGAGCTGCTTTTTGCTTTTAATAAAAAAGGAGTTAAACAGAGTTGAGGAGGATGTTCAAATATCTGCAGGGGGTGAAGATACGGAACATTCTCTCTGGGGATGGAGTTTGCACAGTTTCAGTGGCTCATTTGCTAATGTTAATTTAGTGGGCAAGGTTAATGTTCATAAAAATAATTTCAGATTTTATTTTGATAACTCTTACTGCTTTCTGAAGTATGTGATACCAGTTTTGAAGAAGGGGAGAGAGGTTATTTTTGTGGATTGTAGCTGTTCACCACTGTGAACAAAGCAAATTTACTTGCTGGAGCCAAGGGTGACTCAGGTGAGAAACTTCTTTTTATGCCGTTTACTAGTGATGATTTGTCTGTGATGTTGGCAGTCACTGCAAATGCATTATGGTACTGGACAAGGACTGATCCTGGTTTTGGAATTCTACTGCGGGATCCTGGACATTTGCAGCATTTTTGGGGAGGGCTTACTGTGAAATGTAGAGATGCGGAGTATTTACCTTGCTTGGCATCTTCTTTTGATTGAGTTGTGTCTCAGAAGCTGCATCAGTTCTCCAGGACCTCCTGGCTTTTGCACGTTTGCTTTTCTGACGCTTAAAAATTTTGTAAATGTGAGCTTTTGATTTCACTTGTGCTCTCTGTGGTCTTACGGCCTGTGTCTCCATCTTCAGGTTCGATGCAGTCACTGCATTGCAACATTCTTGGAGTTTTTGCTGTAGGTGTAGTTCCTGCATTTTGCATGCTTTGAAAATAGAGAAGGGTGGAGAGGAGTGTGAGATCACACAGAGCAAGAAGAACATGTACTGTATGAAATTACTTGCGCATTGTACTTTAAAGAAGAAAGAAACCTTAAGCAGAAAGACTGAGCAGAGCATTTCAAATAACTATAAATGAGGAAATGGAACTAAAGCTGTTCCTTGGTCTGTAAAATGATCAACTGCGCTGTGCATATGACATGTTTCCTGGGGGAGATCTCATTTTAAAAACAGAGCATTAAATCTAGTTGTAGGGCTTCTTTTCTGAAGACTGTTGAAGTAGAGGAGAATTTAAGAACAGTGCATGTGAAGGGCCTTTAAAATGTTCAAAAGCAGGTTTTCTTTGCTTTAAAATATTGCTGCTGGAGTAAATCTGATATTAACTCTCCTAGAACTGGGGCACTGGGCCTCTCTTCAGAGATCTGAAGGTCTCGTCCTAAGTTTCTGAAGTTACTAGTGACTGCTCTTGCCCCAATTTTTGTAGGTTTTCAGAAAGAAAAATTTGAGATTCCAGCCTCCAAAAACCCAGGCCGCTGTAATTTATGCTAGGCTGGATACCTGAAATCATTATTTTACTTTTGGAAAGTAGGCATCTCTTTGTAGTCTGACAGGAGCCTGAGATTTATGCTGTGATAGTTTCCTTATCCACACCTGAATCTTGCTGTCCTGGGTTTAAGCCAGGGTAATATTTGAGGGAAATTCCATAATGAATAGGAAAGGAAACACTTCTCTTCAGACTGCATTCACAAATGGCAACTCCTGATGCTGCCGAGAGGCTTGGAATGTGAGGGAACAAGCAGGTGATGTGGCTGCAGGGATCCACAAGTTGCATAAATGTGTAGTCGTTATACTACATGACCTGAACTAGTAGTGATAGATATGTATAGTTATATTGATTTTCACTGACTGCTATGTTTTTACCATATAGGTTTTTACCAGCTATATTGACTTGTTGTATCCCACAGAAGACAGAAATGACCGGTTAAGAGACTCATATTTCTTTAATTGTGATTGCACGGAGTGCATTACAAAAGAAAAGGTAATGAAATTAGTGTGAAGTGTACTTCTGACTGTGAAAGCACCTACACAGGTCCTTAGATGTAATATTCTATCTGGCTTAATTACATTTTGAAAAGTAGGATAATAGGGGTGGTGGTGGTTCTGTTTTTCTGTCTAGAAGACTTTCTGATACTCATTTTTTCCACTGTAACCATGACACATCAGGAAATTTCCTGGTGGAGGCCTATTTAAAGTTGAGCTACAAAGATGAAAACTTTGTTAAAAATAGTTAATTATACTGTGACTATGCTACCTGGCCAAAAGAATTTAGCTCAGAACTCATTTTTTTGTAACTGCATGTTTTCTACCAACTCCCAGCTAGCAAATCTTGCTTGGGGCATTTCTGTGGTCCTGTTCTGGGATAGAGTCCTGCTGCAGTTCCTGGTTGGGGCTTTGTAGTCAATTCTACGTGACACTGTATGACACTGTTGAATGGTTTGGAGACCCAGCAAAATCTGCGAAATGGGCTTTCCTGCAATATGTTCGTATCGATCTTCTGATGGACAGGGTGGTTCTGTGGGTCACATCCCCTTGTGAAGTGCAGGTCAGATTTATGTTCATTAGATATCACCTCGTGCCCTTCAAGGGACAAAGGCAGACATCCAGACAGCGTTCCTTAAAACAAGGTGTTATTTTGAAGAAGAGCACTTATGGGGAATAAAAAATGGTATCCAGCGCCAACAGATCCTGAAACAACTGTGCCTGTGCAACCATTTGGACCTCCCTCACTGAAGGTCCTAGAAGGACTGAGCTTTGTGTGGCTCATCTGTCATTCTAGCCAAGATCAGTCTGGCTGGCATAATCTGATCCTTAAGTCCCAGATCATTTTTTTCCCCCATTTTCACAAAGGTGGCCTTTTAAGAGCTGCTTGACAAACTCACCAGACAACCATCTTCTTTCTCTAAATGGTGTCACCTTTTGTAACTGTTTTTTCCAAATAGTACCCAGTATTCTTGTTTGCGGCCATTCTGTTAATACCGTAGTTGTGTTTTTCCCCACAGTTACCGTGATAATTTTGTCACCGAGTTTAACAAAGCCAGGATTTCATCTGTGATTTCCAACAATGTGCTACTCTTGGAATCACCTGTCACTCAGCCTCCTTCAGCTCTGGAAAGAGTACCCTATAGTCCTCTCAGCTGGCAGATGAAAAAATAAATGAAAAAGAAATCGAGCAACGATGTGAGGCTTAAACAGCAAAAGATTGTCTCCAGATTGCAGATGACTCTTCATGAAGTACTAAGTTAGATAGAAAGATCAGAGTAAGTGGAGCTGTCCAGCAAAAATAATGAAATCTTTTTGTCTGTAGATATGAAGGATCCTTTTCTGTATTTAATACCATCTCATTTTCTACTGAGCTATCACTTGGTGGCAGGCCTAAGGTATTTGGGTTTTTCTACCCTTGAAACTAAATTTGTTTTAATCCCTAATCTCTCGGAAGCAGTGAAATTTCCTATGTAAAAGTGCTTTCATCACAAAATCGAAAAGCTCTTGGATCTTTCAAAAGAAAGGGACTTCATGGAAGTAGAGAATGTCAGATAAACTGGAAGGTGCAGAGGATTCTAGGATTCCCAGCCAAGGCTTTAGAGAAAAACTGCAGGTGCACATTCTACCTTTGTTTTTACATTCTTTGAAGAGCTTAAGTTCCCATCTGTGTCTTTTTATTAAAGTAGTTCTGTGTAGCAGGTGCACCTTTATTTGTAGGGCTTGGAACCTGCATTTATAACATCCATTGTGTTTCCTTCAGGATAAAGAGAAACTGGAAATCCGCAAGCTGAATGATCCTCCATCAGCAGAGACGGTACGGGACATGATCAAATATGCCAGGAATGTGATTGAGGAATTCAGGAGAGCCAAACACTACAAATATATCCTTTGTCTCACCCTGACTCTGCTGGCTTGGTGTGTGACCTAAAAGTCTTACCTGCTGGATTGCTTTAGAAGTACCTGCAGGAGAAATGCTATGACTGTTTTAGAAGAAGTTAGACTTACCTCTGCCCTCTGTGTCTGAAGAGCTGTCCATGGAGTCAAGGGGCAGTTTAACACAGCAGGTGGGTTGGGATTGTGAGACCCCGTGTTTGTGCCTTCCTATGCGGTTCTCAGTTTCATGGAGCGCAGCATGTGGCTGTCTCCACACAAGCCAGAGACCAGAGTGAGCATAGGTGCGTGCTTATGTTGGCATGCTGTAGTATTGCCCTGTTTTGAGAGACTGCATGTGAGGCTGCAGCTATTGCTGATGGGCACAAGCCTACCTGTTGTAACAGTGGTGTGGTTTGGACAAAAATGCAAGATCCGTTGGGCCAGAAGCAGACTGGGCTATCTCATGCCTGATTCAGTACCCACTGCATGGGGAGTTTCACTCCACCTTCTGATGCATTGCTGGTGCAGTGGTGATTCAGGAAAGCTGCTTTTTTTTGTTGCTTTTTAAATCTGAAAGCTAGTTTTGTAGAATATCTGTGTAGGAAGGGGAACAATCTCATGAGCAGAATACCTCTTGAGTATAGAATACCTCTCAGCGTTGCTCTGGGGTTGTAGCATGAATGCTTCGATGCCATTTGGGAGAAGAGAGGACTTCTCAGAACCATTCTGAAGTTGAACTCAATTTGGCATTACCTGATAGCTGTCTGATGAGAGGCTCTCTTATTTATTGGGTTCCTTGACTTCTTCATACCTCCAAGTGAATTGCTGGAGATCTGTGAACTCAGCCTGGACAAAATGGGTGCAGTGTTTGAAGACAGTAATGTTTACATGTTACATATGATGTACCAAGCCATGGGTGTCTGTCTCTATGTGCAGGACTGGGAAGGTGCACTGCGTTATGGGCAAAAAATTATCAGACCATACAGGTAAATAGGAGACTCAGTATTTTTCTTGTAGTGCTCTAATTCAGTAATCTGAATAATTAAGACAAGTTTGGGCAGAGATCACTTCTCTCTCGCTACGTATTGTATAAACACGCTACCCATGACATCACTGCTCAAAAAGGAATGTTTAAATGCTGGTACAGATTTTGTAACTGTCAAAATGTGGTCTGCAATATATGGCAGAAGGTGACTGAAATCCTTGCTTTGGTTTCTCAAAACTACCTTGGGTACTGTGCTAGTTCTGCTTAGCTAGATAAATACTGGGTTTTTGAATATCCTAATACTTCACTGAAGCAGAGCTTCGAATTGCATTTGCAGTTAATATTTTGTATAAGGTAATGGAGGCAAAGCCCACCGTTGCCGATAACCTCCCGCTCTCTCCCAGTCCTTTCTCTCTGCAGTAACACAGTGGTCCCGGTTGCAGGAGAGCAGAGCCCTGTCCCAGGGCTGGGGCTGAGCAGCAGAGGGAGCTGGAGCCGAGCTCAGCTCCTGCGTTTGAGGCCGTGGGTACCCTGATCTCCACTGCCCTAGAGCTGGAGGCGTGGGAGAATGTGCAGGCTGAAGCCCCGTGTGGAGCAAAGCAGCACACAGCCTCTGCAGGAAATAATTAAGACTCTCTCCGATAAATTTTTCTGTGCTTTTACAGTAGTGCTCTCGTTCATTAGAGCCAGCCAGTTCCGTGCTGTATCTGATCCTGCCATGAATCTCCCAGGCAGATTCTCATCTTGAGACATGACTTTCTTGCCAGCTGGGGGAAGCGCAAGTAAAGCTCTCCCTTTGGAGCAGATGCCAACGTAAAGTCACAGATCACTTGGCAGAGAGCAGCGATACAGAGAAGGAGCCAACATTCCCCCCCCCCCCCCCCAAA